TTCCAACCAAAGCTTCTCAAACTTCTTCCAATTGCAACCGCCCACTTTTGGAGATCAAAAGGAACCCTCCAAGCCTTGAGCACCACACCCAAACTATCTCTTCAACCCATAACTGGAAACTCTCTAATCAGCTAGGTTTTTGGGCAAAAAATCAGCAGCCCCACTTTCTTGGCAGTTTACAACTAGATTCTGACTCTCCAAGCCCTCTACCAACTAGGCATACAAGTTCTCTTAATAATCAACAACTTATCACTCCATACACTTCTAATCGGAAGGTGTATGGGAAAAGAAAAGAAGAAAATAAAAGAAGACCTGCTCTGATACCAAGATGTGATTCAAACCAATAAAAAATAGTGAAAATATTTCAAATTAAGGTAGAAGAGAAAGAGAAGAAGAAGAAGACAACAAGAGGAAGAAGAAAGAATGGAGAAGAAGGGAGAAAGGAGTTCGATAGTCTCCTCTTTCTCCACTCTAATCTTTTATTAATCTTGCTTAGATTACATAAATTACAAGTCTACCCTTAACTAGGCATCCACCTCATCAGCATACTTAGAAACCATAAAAAAGGGTTAAAGGCCCATTAAGAACTAATAACAAGAAATAACTAATCAAAAAGATAGTAATGGGCTAGGGCCCATTCGGCCCAGTCTCTCTACAAAGAGAAACTAGAAATATTCAATACTTTAGTTCAGCTTTGAGGATATAGAAAGACAAATACATTCAGTGCAAAGGACCAAAACATGAGAGAGTATAGTCTAAGGTTGTCTGAGGGCACAAGCATAGACATAATTCTAGATTCCTTGAGAAATGCTTATGAGATCTTCAATTGTTTTTGCATCTTATCTTGAAAGGATAAGAGATCCCTACTTTCTTGTGCCAGTAATGCCACAATGGAGTTGGCATACTCCACAATATGGCAAGTGGTGGTTAAGGAATGTTTGAATAACTTGTTCCATGCAATTCAGAGAGTAGACACTTTGTATATCCCTAACCAACCTTGGCTCTGCCTTCAAATGCCTGGACTAGGCAAATCTTGGATTTTGGATTGCGAGGAAGGTACTTAGAGCAGGAGTTCACATCCCCCCCCCCCCCCCCCCACAGAGTGTGCCCCAAAAACGCCCCACGTGCACATCTTAGCGCGCATTGAGAACATCTCCTGTACTTGTCATTGGGAGATGTTCCCAATACACGGTTGGTATGTGTTGTGGGACATTTTTTGGGCACACTCTGTGGGGGCATATTTGAACTCCTTAGAGAAGTGGGCAAACTGCTCTAGATGTTGGGAGGATTGCTCCTGTCCTCGTGTCAATGGGTTGGCATCTCTGACCTTCTGCTCTTGCCCTTGCATGGCTGTTGGTTGAGGGGGAAGGGGGAATGTGGCACCTCACATCATGGCAACAAGGTCCTCAACTTGGTGTTGGAAAACTTAAATTACTCTGAAGTAATGGCTTGGGGCTGGTTCTATGAGACTCCTCCCCCTTTGAGTGTGGATGTTGGTGGATTATGTCTTAAGAGCCATGGTCGCTAAGTCATGTGATGTTGGTAAGATGAGCTTTTCATTTGATTCCCACAAGGCACCAATTTGTTATTACTCCAAGATGTAGCAAAGATAAGGTAGACAAGCTGAAGACTTATGGCAACCTACGAACACAGTAATGGTCAAAGGCCCTGAGGTGGATTCCCGGGAAGAGATTCTTCAACACTCAAGTTAGTAACTAAATGATGGAGTTGGAAAAGCTGAGTTGAGTAGTGAGATGAATTGTGATGTGAGAGCAAAAGAGTAAGATCACTAGAGTGTAAGACTATGTAAGAGAGTCTTACAAAGAACTCAAGAGCTAGAACTTTCTAAAATTACAGCATTTAAGAACATTCAAGAATAGAAACTAAAGGCATGTGCATTAATAAAGTATAAGGGCAAATTTGATAAAGACAAAATATAAGAAGATTCCAAAATATGAAGGTCCAAACACTATAAATAAGGCCTATACCCATATCCATATGGGAACCAAGTTAACAACCCACCCATTAAACCCAATATTAGGAAGAGGATATCCACATTTTCTCTCTCCTCCCCCTCTCTTCTCTCTCCCATTCCCAAAAAACCACCAATACATCCCGAACCAGCACTCTCCTTTCACTGTTATTAAGTAGGGGGATAATGTAAGTGGATTTATATAAATACATTAGTCAGGCCGACCCGGCATAAATCCGGGTCAGACTAAATTGCTTCAGGCTGGTTATCAACTTAAGCAAAACCATTTACAAACAATTCAAGAGCTAGAAATTTCTAAAATGTAAGAACATTCCAAAATATGTAGAAATCAAAGGTGTATACATTAATAAAGTATAAAGGCAAAATTGATAAAGACAAACTATAAGAAGATTCTAGAATTTGGAGGTCCAAACATTATAAATAGGACTCCATACCCATATGGGTAATGAATTAAGAACTCACCCATTAAACCCATCATTAGGGGAAGACTTCCTCTCTCTCTCTCTCCTTAAAACCCACCAACACATCCCCAACCGTCATTCTCCTCTGGTCTCTGGACTCTCAAAGTCAGACCACAACCACTGCCTTACCTGGGCCCAATTAGCATAATTTAAGCCATTGGGAAAAATCAGAATTACACATCTAGCAAACAAGCAAAAAGTCAAATACAGACCTTGAATCTTGCAAAGTTGCTGTCTACTTTTACTGTATCAATGTATTCAATACGCTGTGTGATATAATAGAAAACGTATAATTAAACCCACTTGTATCAATGTATTCAAATGCGTTCTGTATCGATTTTCACCAAAACACAATATCATTACACATGGTATAAAAATAGAACGCCTACCTAAACCCATTTTACTATAATTTAAAATGTTTGAAATAGGTATGATATTAGGGATGCCAATTTTTTCCATCTCTTTGATTCCCATGGGGATCCGTTTCAAATAAGGCAAGGATGGGGATGATTTTCTTCCCGTAAGGATGGAGACGAGGAAATTTTCATCCCCATTAAGAGGGATGGGGCGAGGACAGGGAGAGCACTCTCTGCCCCACGGGAACCCCGATCCCTGCCCCATGGGATCCCCACAATATATATATATATATATATATATATATATATATATATATATATATATATATATGTGTGTGTATATATGTTTGTATATATTAATATTTTTAAAAATATGATTGAATATATTTATATCTTTTCTAATAGGATTATAAATTTTAATTATTTTATTTTTTAAATAAAATAAAAAATAAAAACAAAATAATTAACATTATAAAAAATCACGAGAATGGAAATCCCCACAGGGATGGAGATTCCCATAGAAACAGGATGGAAATAACCTTGTCCCCATGGGAATAACCTCTTCCCGCCCCCGCCCCATTGCCATTCCTATATGGTACAAAATGCCTACCTATGTCCGAGTATAGTATGATATCATTACAGAAATATAGTACAAAATGCCTACCCATTCCTATCAGCTCGTGGCATACACAAGGGTATCGTCCTTAGAAAAATTTGCCAATGATATCTCGTTCGCTTTGCAGCAGATTCCGTGTTATATTTAACGAAAGCAATATACAATCATAACTAACCAAACAAGGCCAGATCACATTTAACACAAATTCGATGATTTTTTTTTTTTTTTGATAGATTGGAAAATTACATCAAACTAAAATCCACGTGGGGTGTGTGCATTTGCAAAGCAAATAAAATAAAATAAAAAGTTGAATAACGACGAGATGACACTTGATTTTGGTGCCCGAAATCTGCGAGCCAGTAAACTGCCTGATTTGCCTCTCGGAGAGTGTGGATAATTCATGCAAATCTCGTAGCTCAATTCTATTGTGTTGCTGATAATTCATGCAAATCTCGTAGTTCAATTCTATTGTGTTCCTAATATTCCATGGGGTATTAGATACACCCTATAATCCTTTAGTCCATCCATGGTTTTTAAAACCGAACCGGTCAGGGGTTCGGTTATCGGTTTGAACGGTCCAACCATTTGACCCAAATGGTCAGTCTGTTTTAACAAAAAAATAAAAATTTTAAAAAACGGTTAAAACCGTTAAACAGTTAATTAGCCGGTTCAGCGATTTGCAGACTACAATCAACGATTTTAAAAGGAAAAAAAAAAACAGATTGGGAAAAAACGAAACTAGTCAAGTCATGTGACTGATTCCCGGTTTTTCCGGTCCAAGCGTCCGGTCCGCTCAGTGCGGTTTTGAAAACCATGAGTCCTTCCACCATGATCCTCGAGTCACCTTCAATGATGATTCTCCTATCGGGTAACTATTGGGATGCCATCAATTCTGCTTCATTCATGGAAGACAGCAACCAACAAAGAGGACATTACTGCAGTGTTTGGAAGTGTGGGTGTTTATTCAATAAACACTGTCACATAGGTGCCGCTGATMGTATAAAAATTTGCAAAAACAGGCCTTGATTTTTATGCATACCTATCAACTACCATTGGGAGAAACTTCGTTTTAACTTTTTCCCCTAATAGAAATGCTTATTCATTGTATGCTGATGTAGTGCTTAATTAAAAGGTTTAATTATTGTTTTTCTCTCTAAACATTTATTTAATGAATAACCTCCGGCACCTAACTGTTAATCAAGTAGAAACATTTAATGAATAACCGAAAGCTACATACATAGCCTCTGGCAATCACCCCACACGCTCTGGCCATTTTATTTCCACGGCACATCAATGTTAATTTTGATTGCTTTCTCGGGTGGAGGTTTCCATTACACCAGCATTCTCAACTTTGGGCTTTCTCCTTTTTAAGGGGAAGAACTTTAGACGGAAATATTAGGTTAAATTTAGGCCTCACTAGGAAAATCTTGTTCACCCCCATCATTAATAAACGTTCAATGATTTTTTTTACGAAAATCAATGGACCCAAAAAGAACCCTGGCCGAAGAAAACTAATTAGCAGACGAGAAAACCAGAAAAATAACCATGTGATCAATCATTTATCAGCAAAATAATTAACAGACGAGAAAACCAGAAAAATAACCATGATTTAAAAACGCTTTTCTTCGTTTACCACTGAATACTAATACAACAAGAAACCAAGAAAAGTGAGGGAAAATGACAAAAATGAAAAGGGATTTTCTAACAGACCACACATTCAGTAAAAAAGAGCGAGGAAAATGTTTACTCAATGCATGATGGAGACACACAATTCAGCGGGGTTTTGCTTAGTTTGTTAACTCCATGATGGCAGAGACAATGTCTCCATCAGCCGCCTTTAGTGCCTTCACGGCCTTCGCCCTTGAGACTCCAGCCTGTGTCATTACCAACTCTATGTCCTTGGGTTCTACACCTGTCTCGTCCACCTCTTCATCCTCCTGAGCCATGGCGGATGATTCAGGCTTGGAGATTACATGGCTGAGATCAGGGGCCTTGAACTGCTCCGCAGCCTGAGTCTGCAATTGGGAGCTCAGGTCTTCAATCTTTGCCTCCCCAAAAACAACATAGGTGTCTGAAGTCGGGCTCTTAAAAACATCTGGTTTTGAGATGACAAATAAAATCTGAAAGAAAAAGAAGAACCAACCATGTTTATTTCAACAGATTATAGTAAAAGCGACGGTAGAAAGTAGACCAAGTAGATCGTTTGAGAACGAAAGATCATTTAATGGCCTGTTGAAGAACTCACATTCTTGCTCTTTTTGACAGTAACACGGCTGACACCTGGGATGGGCTTCATTCCGAGCTTCACCATTGCCTTGCGACTCTTCTTCTCACTCCTACTCTGCTTTGACCTACCGCTTGCATCTCCTTCTTGCTGTCCTGTAAATTGCAAGAAAAGAACATTTGAGATAAGGAAAAGATGGCCAGCTTTTAGCCTCCGTGACAAAACACCTAAAAATATGTGAAAGATCAGTAAATCAAATCAGATATAAAAATTTTACGAAGCGCATGCAAAGGCAATCACCAGCCAGGAGTCTCCTCTTAATTTTTAATGTATTGGTATGATGCGGGTTGGACAGGTTGGTGGGGTTGGTAAAGGCAGGTTTGGGTTTAACCCAACCCATAATTTTCTTTAAATGGGTCAGAAACGGGTTGGTTAGTTAGATGGTTTGCCCAACCCAAACCCACCAAATTGCCACCCCTATGGATGACACCCTCTTAATAACTCTAAGCTGTTAGACCAAGTCAACCAAGAAAAACAGGGTGTTGAACCCACAAATAACTGTTTGATATTAGAGATCTTTACCTTCTGCATCATCTTCATCCTTGTCATCGTCATCTTCATCATCATCATCATCTTCGTCTTCATCTTCAACCACAGGCTCATCAGGCTGCAGTGAAGATACTCAAAGAGTTCAAAAAAACCATCCCATTGGCAGCTTGTCTTTTAGTATTGAAGAGAAAAGGACAAATTGAAGTAGAAAACAACAGAAAAGTATAAATTGATGCAATTAGTCAATTACATTGACAACAAAAATTTGGTGTCTAAAATTATATAATTGCATTATCAAATGCAGAGAACAAAAGAAATATAACATCAGGACACCCTCTGCTATCCCTTGTTAATCAAACCAACTTTCCAAGTGCAGTTTCCTTACAATGGATCACCATTTTTAAAGCAAAGCCTGCATATACCCATGTAGACACTGATGCCAATGTATTGTAATATCTTTGGGCAGGCTGTATTGTAATATATTCTAATTTTCATGAATAAATTTTCAATCATTTATCAAAAAAAAAAGACATTGATGCCAATGTCAGTAAACATAAAGGGGAAAAGGAGGGAAAGAGGGTAGAGAAAAGGAAACCATATAATAGAATGGTTAGTGACCTTAACACTCCTTCCTAGTAGAGCTTCTCACCACATCATCCAAACCTACCCTTTACTATACTTACCAGATATGACACTGGATTTTGCATGGGCACTTCGGAATGTGTAAAATGGTATGTTTTAACAAATTATACTATAATAGTTATCAAAAACTCAAATTATATTACAAAAAACTATACATGTTACAAATTTAATTTAACTTGACAAGACAAAAGTTGACTCTTGAGAAATGACATCAAAGTTGAAAAACTAGATAGAAAAGCATGATATGAACATATTATATAGGATACCGATCCATCCATGTCTTGGATATTAGCAAATAGAGAGCAGTCCCATTTCCTTACAGCCAAAAACAGCTCCACAATAGCTAATGATAAAACTTCACATGTTTATCAATGTCCACCCTCAAGGCCCCCCCAACTAATGTTGCATGGTTGAAAAACTAGATAGAAAAGCATGATATGAGCATATTATATAGGATACCGATCCATCCATGTCTTGGATATTAGCAAATAGAGAGCAGTCCCATTTCCTTGTAGTCAAAAACATCTCCACAATAGCTAATGATAAAACTTCACATGTTTATCAATGTCCACCCTCAAGGCCCCCCCAACTAATGTTGCATGGTTTCCCCAAAATAGATAAAATGTCCATGCCAGACAAGTTTCAGATCAACAGTCTGAATTCTTGCTTGACGCTTCAACATAACATTTATTTTATCTACTTGCTTATTTGACAGACAGAACTAGTTGTATGAAATCTACTAAATGGTTAATGTGTCCATGTTGGAAACAGATTAGGGTCCAAAAACTACACAATCTTTGAGGACACTTCCACATAACATTTACTTTTTATCTCCTAGCTTATTTGAAGTGACATAAATGAACAACTAATGCACAAGATGAATGCCATTTTTTTGTAAATGTTACTTGTAACAAAGGCAACATCTTTTGCAAGTATATACTGTTAGATTTCAAAAAATATAAACTATTTTAATAGAATACACTTTTCCATAGATGTACCTACAAGTCCATGTTTTCTCATCTTCTTTATATGAATAATGAAGTATGCTATTAAGAATAACAAAAGTAAACTGACAAGTACATGCAAAACTGACTTCTCCCAGAAGGCAACGGAATGGATTTCAACTCCCATATTCATGTGCATGCAATAATATGGGCATAAATGACTGGCCAATTTACAAAATGAATACCATTTTTCTGAGAATAGTAATCAAGTAACAAAAACGAAAATTCTAGACCTTTTCATGGGCATATAATGTTAGAATTTCTAAACAAGATTATCATAATAGTTTACTTTTGATGAATGTAAAACTAGATAGGATAGGGATGAGTGGAAAAACTAGAAAGGATAGGATTAGGAATGAAGTTATCCATAGGAACCTAGGAGCAGCTCCAATGGGTAATAAAATGAGAGAGTGTAGACTAAGATGGTATGGGCACATTGAAGAAGTGATTCGTTACACATTGAAGAGGTTACAAGATCTTGGCGAAACAGGAATTATGTAGGCAACCCCATATAGTTGGGATAAGGCAACCCCCAGTTGGTCCAATTCATACTCCAGGACAAACATCAATTCTTAGTCTTATGTCCATGTCCATGCAAAACTACCTTTAACCACGCAAATGCATTACCATATAAGAACAATCATATTTGGGTATCACAATAGTTTAAAAGTGCAAGCAAGAAATGCAAGGGCCTTTTAGCACCTACGGCGAAAGACAAGGCACACGCCTTTTCAAAGCAAGAGCAGAGATTTTAAAAAGAAATCAAATAACAAAAATTAAATATAGTACATAAGAATTGCAAACCTAACCTTTGAAAATAAATAAATGTTTAAAAAAGCCTCTCTGGATAAAATGAAAATAAATATATGTAACATATAAGGCATTCGAAGTTAAAATATTTCAGTGTGTGTGGATTGTATTAATGTCCTTCAAGCGTTGAACAATTCTAGTAAATGAAACATATCTTTTTATTTATCTCATGGTTGTGTTATGTCAAGAAGTTAGTGTAATGTTAAGCATCTTAAATCCCTACCAGCAGATCGGTGAGAATCACCAGCATTCAAACAGCAATGAAACATGATTTAGAAGTCTGTAAATCAACATAAAGGTGTTAAGCCACCAAAAAAACATTAAAAAAAAGGCAGACACCAGGTGCACCTGGGTTCAGGCAAGGCAAGTTCCCTAAAATGCACTTCATAGTTCATATGTGCACCTAAGGCAAGCTTTAAAACACTGATAGAGACAAGCACAGCAATTATAAACATTAGTAAATCATCGGGCCTGGAAACCAACATACTAGGTTAAACATTAAGCTGTATTTTCACCACATTTCAACTGCTCCCTCTATAACCTATCACAATAAAATCCCTTAGTCAATCCCTCTATCATTTGGCAATTGCATAAATTGCCCACGTTCAGTTGTATCGCTACAAGATTATAGATGTGTTTGACTCAATTAAACGCTCTATGGTTTGAAATTGCATAGATTTGACAAACCCACACATATATAACAACTCCTACATCAAAGAACCAAAGCCAACTATCATAGATAAATTTTATCTGCATCACTGTTTGTATAATTTGAATCTAACAAGGAGCAAGGAGACCCATCTCAGAACAAACACAACTAAAGGGCTTCAGCTTCCCATCTTAACCGCTCCAGTTGCACCAAAAATTATTTACTCGATCTGTAGTTACTCAATGATATGAAGCATGTTACTGAAAACCTACACACGGAACTAGTTTAAAGATTCATTCCCGACAAGAAATTACTAAAGGAAAGTAGGAAACAAAGCCTTGCTCAAATATCTCTTCCATTGCAAAAGAAAAATACCAAGTATTCGATTCAAAACTCAAAGGATTTGAAAGAATAAGAAGGGAATCGAGTGATATTATGAGAGAGTGGAGAAAGAGAGGAGACTATAGATGCTTACATCGATCTTTTGCTGTTCGAGATGAGCAGCGAGAAGCTCATCTTGCGTCTGAGCAGTCATGGTGGTAAGGGGAAGAGTGGGAACTATAAAAACCCTAAAACCCCTATGTGCAGGCTGTGCAGCGGCAGTGCCTAAGATGGGAACAGCGACATCTTTTATAGTATGTGCTGTCACCGAAATTACAAACTTAACATTATCATTTACAATAAATGGCTATGATGTCCCCTGTAGGCTCTGAATTCCGACCTGGCTGCTGGCATTTCGGATTTCGCGGGATTTTTCGGTATCCGATACGTTCTGATCTTATGACCCGTTTATCAAAATCTTATAAGGTTTGGGATGGTCACAGATTTAGGTTTTGATTTCATGTTAAAATCCGATAGAGTTTATGATGATGATGATATTAAATAATATGTACCTACATTTTTTGTATTTTTTATACTTTTGGTGTTTTTCATCTTTCTTAATTGTTATTATTATTTAATTTTAATGTCAAGGATTTACACATTTGGCCCAAAAGGTTTAATTGTTGACTTGCCACCAAACATGAAAATAATTCCATTTTTTGTTTTTTCTTAATTTGTATTTTATTTCTATTATCTATAAAAATGATTATTCTTTATAACACTATTTTTTTAATATGATCAATTAATATAAGATTCACCGAAAGAATGAAAGTTAATAACTTAAATAAGACTTAAAGGGAATTGAATGAGGAGAAATATAGTAGTTTAAATTACATTGTATGCCCCCATAGTTAGAGAGAGACAAAATACAAAAAAAGGGGCATTCTAGTCAAGAATAGGATTCAATGAATGTTAATGAGAATTAATACCTTAAATATAAGATTCAAATGAGAGAGATTTGAATGGGGTGAAAAATGGTTGTTGAAATTACATTTCTATCCTTACGATAAAAGAAAGACCAAAATTCAAAAATTGGGATATTTTAGTCAAACAAAAGCTCTACACTCTCATTCACTAAGAAATATATATATATATATATATATATATATATATATATATATATATATATATAAGAAATAGAAAATAGTTGAGTAGAAGCTAGGAGGAATCCTATCACATTCTTAATTGGTTAAATCGCAAGTTTGGAACATCTGGTTAGGTTCAAGTCCAATCCAAGCAATACTTTTAGGTGAATTGTTTGTCTATGAAATTTAAATTTTTATTAGTTAATTTTAAATTTTTATTAATGTAATTATTGTTGAATTTAAATGGATTTTAAATTACTATAATTATGATTTAAGATTACACAATACAAAATGGTATCTATTTGTCTAGATTCAAATTAAGATTCAATTGGTTTGGGCAAGTTTAAGTCCAATCCAAGTAATATTTTTAGGTGAATTACTTGTCTATAAATTTTTTATTAATTAATTTTGAAAATTTAGTTATTAGGATTTGGGATTGCAAATGGTATCTATTTGTATGAATTTAGATTAAAACTCCATTCGTCTAGGAAAATTCAAGTCCAATCCAAGCATTATGTTTAGGTGACACAGTTGTTAATGATTTTTAAACATTTATAATTACTTATAAAATTTTGATTGTTGTAAGTATGATTGCAAATGGTTTCTATTTTTCAAAATTCAAATTCTAACTCGATTTGAAATGATAGTCTTAAGTGCTTTGGATTAAATCCAATTTTCACAAGGGGCAAGGTTTGGGGTTATGGCCTTATGGGTATGAGGGGACGAGCATAAGCTATTACACTACCCTCATCCCCAAGCCCTTAACACCTTACCAAGCCAAAATTTAAAAGAAAAAATAAAGAACAAAAGAAAGAAAACAAGTGCTTTAGAATTTGGTGGGGGTGCTCATGGTTTGGTTGACCAAACCATGGGCAAATTATTGAAACCTAAACAGTGCTTTAGTTTTTGCAATATTGAGAACCAAAATTGAATCGAACTAATCAATTAACTAATTGATTGGTTTGGTGTTTAATCAATTCGCTTCTTTGGTTTTTTATATTCATAACACACACACACTATATATATATATATATATAATTGGTGAATATATAAATATATAAATATATGGTTAGCAATTGAATTTTTTATAAGCTAATCAAAGCAAAAAGGACTTTTCGGTTTGGTTTCCTTGGTTTGGTTCATTCTTCATTTTTTTATGAACATTCCTAAAATTTGGAAGGATTTGATAGAGTTTGCTTATAAGACATAAGTCTCATATAAATTACTAATATAAATATATATATATATATATATAACAACATAACCTTTAAAGACGTAATGGTTTTAGGACTTTAAGAATTTTCTTTTTAAAGGTCAAGTTTAAATCCTTCATGTTTATTTGTTTAGGCTTCAAAAAATATCCTTTATGTCTTTTCTCTTTACCCATTTACCCTTAAGATTTAAGGGTTAAGACCAAGAGTCAAAGATCCATTGACCACTAACTTTTGAGTTTTTAATTTTTTCTAGCAATCCAACTTTTTAACTTTTTTCTATAATTGTATTATTTGAAATTAGAAACTTATTGGTTACCAAAAAATAGAGATTTTTAGGAGTGTGAATTGATTAAACATCAAACCAATCTTTTTTTATCAACAATTAGAAATCATTAAATTAAAAAGAAGTTAGTTACAACGCTCCAAAGAGAGATAAACAGGCTTAACTCTCTCTAGGAAGATAACAAAAAAGAAAAAGTTACAAAACAACCCAAAACAATTGATCCCTTCCCACCCCCTACTTTGCCAAAGCATCAGCAAATGCATTTGCCGTTCTCTTGACCCACTAAAACTTAATTTCCACTCCTCTACTTAGCCACTTAATCTCCCTCCTCTCATTAGCATATTTCCAAAGTCCACTACCTTCTTGTAACCAACATAAGACTAGTTTTGAGTCCCTTTCAATGACTAACTTTTGTATATTCAGTTCCTTAGACTTCCTTATACCCTCCAGTACTGCATAGACCTCAGCTTTGAGAGAGTCTCCAAACCCAATAGAACTTGAATACAAAGCGAGCACCTTCCCATCCTCATCTCTGAAAACCCCTTCTACACCTGATGGACCTAGATTTCCTTCACTACTTCCATCAAAGTTTAGTTTTATTAGTCCACTTCCTAGTGGTGACCACATAGGACAAACTAAAGAGCGAGCAGGAGCAGAATTTGCCACCTCCAGCCAGCTATTCAACAACATATTTGTAGAAATATCAACAAACAGGTCCAAGGATTTCAAACAATGTACCACCCTCACTATTACTACTTCAATAAGGCATTCTTTACTTCTTTCAATTTCAGAGAAAATTCTGGTGTTCCTTTCCTCCCAAAGAGTTCGGCAAACAACAACCCTCACACATCTCCACATTATCCTTCCCCTTTTGTTTGGCAAACCAAAGAATGAAGGGCTAAACAAACTTTGAATGTTTGGTAGTGGGGTCCACCTGCAACCAAAAGAAGAAAGAAACCATTCCCAAAGATCAATAGCAAAGGGGCAAGAAACTAATAAGTGGTAGGAGCTTTCACCATTAGCCTTGCAAAGAATGCATCAATTCCGAGACAAGCACCAAAAAGGCCTTTTTCTTTGGAGTATGTCACAAGTATTACATCTTCTGAGGAAGGCTTCCCAACAAAAGGCTCCAATCCTTGGAGAAATCGGCTCACCTGAAACATCCTTAACTAGAAAGTTTTGTGCAAATGGACTGGATGAAGGCAGTAGGGACTGGAAGAAAGAGGCACAAGAGAAAGTTCCAAAGGGAGTTAGGGTCCACAATCTCTTATCCCTCTCAAAGGGATCCAACACCACTTGGTTTAAGATCTTGTTAGACAATTGTATGCCCTTAGGTCAATCAGAAATATGTACATTGTGAATTTATTATAAATGAATAAAGTACACATTAGATTCATGTTCCTGTGGTGTGTTTCTGTGTAATACCCTTAAACTGGACACTTAATGAGACTTGTGTTAGTTTAGAATGTTCATAGCCATTGGGAAAGTCTGGGGAGATTTATCCTACCAAGGTTGACACTGGTGTGCTGCCAACTGTTAGGGTGGCTTGTCTCAGCTACTAGAGTGAGACCCGAAGCACATGCAGTGTAGGACTAATAGAACCTTTGAACCGGAYCAGATTTCCAGTATTGCCCTGGACCTTGGAGATAGATGAGCAAAACTAGAAAGTTACACCTAACCCCTAGACTCGATTATAATACTACACTAGGTGTCGAATTGGGCTGTCTTTGATGTACCAATCAGTGAGATCCTTAGCAGGGGTCAAAACTTAGGTATGTTGGGACAGTCCGAGAATTCATCTGAGTGGGTGATC